GAAAGGGAGAAAAGGAAAGAAGATGAGAAGAGAAAAAAAAGAGGGGTGAAGAATTATATGACCAAATAAAAGCAGGAGAGAAGGAATTAATAAGCAAAACTCCAAAAGGGAAGAGGTAACAAGTAAGAGGAGTGGACCAGGAGTGATGGGAAGGGAGCCAGTGGGAACAGCACCACCTTAAAAAAATCATGGCAAAGTAACTGAAGGAATATAGAACTATGTTTATAGAAGAAGAGAGGAAAAACATAACATGAAGAAAGTCAACTTTAGAGACAGATGTACATTCTTTTTGTTTGACTATAGTTTAGAACACTGGCATTGAACTAAAATGGAAACAATCCCTGTGGGTGTATATTGACTTAGGAAATCATAAATTAATTTTATGCTGTACTGTACTTTTATTTATTTTGTTAAATATTTCCCAATTAAATTTTAATCTGTTTTGAGTTACAATAAAGAGTTTTGCTGGCATGTGGCAGGTGCAGCATGTAGGCGGTGTGTTTGAGATCTCTGGTTTAGAGGGAATCCTGTGATTCTTAAAAGATCTCTCATCCTGTTTTCCAGGGGATTCGTTTTTTGATAGCAGATACAATTGTTTTTCATTATTCATGTATTCCATATTTTTAAGTTTGTCTGCTAACTAAAATTTATTTTTAACCTCCAAATGAATATTCACAGTGGTTCTGTGGTCATTCTTGGATTTGTGCAAAATGGTGAAAAATATATGAGTTGCCCTGGCTCCTATTTTCCCAGCTGTGGTCAAACAAGGTGATTTTATGTTTCAGTTTCAGCTCCATACTATAAACATGTACCATTTTTATAAACTAAGTAGTACCACATTTTTAGCATTTTTGTGCTTCTCTTTGTGATTTCACTGTTTAAAGTGGCCCCCAAGCATAATGCTGAAGTGCTGTCTAGTGTTCTTAAACACAAGAAGACTATGATGTGCTTTATGAAGAAAATACATGTGTTAGATAAACTTAATTTCAGGAATGAATCAAGGTGCTGTTGGTCATGAGTTCAATGTTAATAAATCAACAATATGGTACATCCAGAAAAAAAGAAGAGGAAATTTGCCAATCTTTATGTGAGGCCAGTGCTCTCAGCAAAGTGCCAATGTGGAAGTCTACCTCCACAAAAGGTCCCCTTCAAACAAAAGTCCATGTATTATAATTTCATCATCTTGATTTAGGGAACTTCAAATTAATCAATAGTTCCCTTGATCTCTCCTCCTCCCACATACACACAAATACAATTTTAAAATGTCTTTTATAAAAATAAAGGAATCTTGCTGACCAAAATATACTACATGTGTAATGAAATATATTTCAGTGTCTTATGTCAATCTCTTCTGCATCAAGTGAAACATAAACCTATAATGCTAGCGTTTACTTGTTGTGTGACCTTGGGCAAGTCATTTAATCTCTATTTTCCTCAATTTCCTCAGCTATAAAATGGAGATAATAAAAGCAACCATCTCTTAGAGTTATTGTGAGGATTGAATAAAATAATATTTGTAAAGTGTCTTTCATATAGTAAGTACAATAAAATGATATTATTACCAATAAATTCCTGAATGAAACCCTAAAATGAAATATCCAAAGACTTCATAACTAAAATCTAGAACTTATATGTTAAAGAAAAAATACAGCAAGTATCCAGAAAGAGAAAAATAAAGTTATCAAGTAATCACAATCAAGATCACAAAGTTAATTGGTAACTAATACTACAAAGAACAGGAGATATTGAAATGTGATATTCCCAAAGGTAAAAATTAGAGACTTACAACTCAGAATGCTTTTATGTTTTGATTATTTTAAAAGAAAAAGAAAGGGAAGAAAGAAAGGAATATATTAAGGGTATAAAAAAGGAAGAAGGAGGTAGAATTTGCTATCTCATGTAATTGGGAGACACAAGAAGACAAACATGGAAGAAGGGATGGGGAATTAAGCATTGTTTGAACCTCACTTGCATCTGAGCGAGAAAGAGGATACATACACATAAAGAGCCTGGTGCATAAATCTATTCAAACCAACAGAAAAACAGGAGAGATCAGGGAGAGGAGGAAATATGAATGGGGTAGATCTAGAGAAGAATTAGTCATAATATCATAACCAAAAATCTTTTTTTATTCCTTTAATTGCTTAAAATGATCAAGCATTTCTTTTTCTCTTACCTACATCTGTCCCTTCACTGAATAATAAAAGGAAACAACACTCCATAATAAACATACATAGTTGAACAAAATAAATTTCCTTATTTGCCATGTTCAAAAAACACGTGTGTCATTCTGCTTATTTGTTCCATCACCTCTCCATCAGGAGATGGGTAGCATTCTTCAACACTAGTCTTATGCCATGATGGTTTATCATGTTTTGACCAAAGACTTTCAATTTTTTTTAATGTCCCAACAAGCATTTATTAAGCAAAACAAATGCTAACTTCATAGGATTGATTGTAAAAGGAGTGGTATTAAAAGGAAATAAAAAGGATAAGATTGGAGTCTGTGCAAGGGAGGAAGAAGGCAAGCAAAGGAGTAGAAGATAATTGATTCAAGTTGGATCACTATTGTTAATCATACTTCTCTCTCACCACCCTTATCTTCTCAGAAAAGAGGAAAGAAGTAAGGAGAGGGGAAAAGTATAATAGAACAAGGAGGGAAATGAACAATTAACAATCATAACCATGAATATTTATCATAGGAACTCACTTATAAAATGTAACAGTACAGGAAAATAGATCAGAAAGCAGAACCAACCATAAATTGTTTACCAGAAACACACTTGAAAAATAAAGATTTGCACAGTGAAAATAAGGGGATAGAACAAGATATATTATGCTTCAGGTGAACTCAAGAGTCATAGGCAGTAATCCTTATTTCAGACAAGCCAAAATTAAAAACAGACTTGAACAAATGTGGATAACAGGGTCTCCAACTTCTGTTCAGTTTCTAAACTAGGTATCCATCACATATGGAAAAGCCTTTATGCCTCCCTAATCCAGAAAATTCATATGGTAAAGGATCCCATGAACACATACAAAATTCAGAAATGGAAAGTACTCAAATAGTCCATCAAGTCCTCCCCAAAGGAAACTGGACTTGGGATTGCTGTCATGTATTCATTTGTCATTTAAGTGAGTCCTTCTTTATCACAGAGTTCAATGGTCTTCCCAAGACTCATAAGATCACACTGTTATTCTGACTTGCCCATGGAGGAAAACATACTTGGAAGAGAGGGGTTGATGATTTTAAAAAAAACAAAAAACCAAAGCACCTTTTTGGCCCTATCCTGTCTGAATGATTGAATGCCTTTCTTGTCCAAATCAAATGCTGCATCAGAAAAAATACAGACTATCCTTTTCTTTCTCCAAGAAGCGTTAGAAAATCATCTTCTCTTTAGACATTCTGGTACCTGAACTTTTGAATTCAGGAAATGAATAGGGAAAAAAGAATGAAAAAGGAAAAAGTTGGGAAAAGGTAGGGTTGACTTAGTCGATAAAAAAGTATCAGGCTACAGGGGAAATCTGTTCTAGTAAAAATATTTCCTTAGTGCTATGATTGTCTTTGTTAGAGTCATTCTAGCACATCTCTAATTTGTATTAATCAGAGAAAAATGGTCTTAGAATTTGAAAGAGCCTATGAGATCATCTTGTCCAACTCTTACACTTAAAGATGAGGAAACTGGCTTCTCAAATACTGTATTGTATATAGCCCCACTCTGCTACTATAACTAGTGCTGACCTCAATGTCTGTAACTATCTCCTTGAGACTGGAGAGACCCATGCTGAGACCCACGCAAATTTGCTTCTAGTCATGCTAAGAATATGGACCAAGGCTACCTACCGCCTACCCTTGTGTTTCTACTCCAAACCTCTCTGGCTATAGCACAGTGAATTTCAACTCTGGTAGAGTGCCTTTTCATATGTTATACCTCTACATCAGCCCCATCCCAGTCAGGGCTCATATGACACCCTGGTACAGACATAATCTAACCAGACATGATCTGCATTCATAGCTGTTCTCATCAGAAAAGCTTAAGATGATACGTTATAGCTCTGCAAACTAGACAGGGTTGTCTTTTATTACTTGGGCTATGGCTATATTTTATTTTATTGGGGCACATAAATTAAAAGTCTTTAATAGAGCTGACAAAAACTTGAGCTAAGCAGATGGACTACACGTTTGAAGGAGAGACCGTCTTACTTATTCATGTCATGGGAAGCACTGGAACAGAAACAAGAAATCTGGGTCATAGTCTTATTCTTGTGTGTAACTAGCTGTGTGATCTCAGGAACATCACTTCAGCTCTCTGACTTTTAGTTTCTTCAGGTAAAGTTAAGGGATAAACTATATTCAGTAGAGTTCTTAATGAATGTCCCATAAACCTGTTTTTAAAAAAACATTTTTATAATTGTGTGCCAATATAATTGATTTCCTTTATAGTGCTATATGTTTTTTTAATGCTTTAAAACTTTACTCTAAGAAGTGGTTCATAAGTTTTATCAGATTGCCAAAGGAGTCCATGACAAAAAAAAAAGATGAATAAGGTTTCATGGAGTATCTCTAAAACAAAAAGTACTACAATTCTTTGTGTAATTTTTCTGCCCTCAAATACAAATGAAATAAATTGATAATATGAAGTACAGAGCATATGCAACCTTTTGTATGTCAAATTCCAAATTGTACACCAAAATTTATTATTGATATTATAAAAGATCCCTAAATCAAGAGAGTCCATAAGCAAAACATTTTGTTATACTCAGTTTGTTGTGCTTGACTCTACTGAATAAATGTTTCTCCCTGCCTCTCCTCGTTTTAAGCCTCCTGTGATGATTTAAGCTCAGCCTGGCAAGGTAAATATTCTTCTTTCTCTGTTGTAATTGTGAAACTCCTCCTTGGTTCAGACACTGTTCCCAGATTTGTCATCAAACAATTGACGAATAGGGATATGTGTCAACAAATAGTTTCTTTTAGGCCCTATAAAAACACTTTACTCCTGTGTAAAAATTGAAGAAGAGCAAGATGGGCAATCAAAGTATGGGGTCTTCTCTGATCATTTTACTTTCAGTATTTCTGTGTTTCTTTCCTACCAGGTCCGCCACAGTAGAGAATTTTAACTACCCCTACCTTTGGGACCAGGTGCCTGGAAATGTAGAAGATCTCCCAGTCAAGGATAACAAAATTATCATGGATCCTTGGGACTATCGAGACCGATTAAGCATGTATAAAATGATACTAAATTATTCAGCAAAATATTTCACTCAATTTGGAATAAATAATACTGGGAATGCATTCTGGATGCTCACCACATTTTATGGACAATTATATGAAACAGGTATGAACATGTTAACTATTTCAAAAAGTTCTCATAAGCCACAGTACTCATGAGAATACAATTCCAGCAAATGATTTTTGAGTGCTATGGTCTGAATGCTCTAAGGTTATTCTGGAAGAATGACCATTTCATCCATCAGTGATCATAGTACAGGGAATGTGTTTACAAACCAGTATTTTGGTTTAAGGAGAAACAAATATAACATGGAACTTTAAAAAAATTATTACAATAAAAAGGAAAAAATCACAGATTTTGAGAATTGAAAGGGAGCTCAGTGACAATTGAGTATAACCTACATATGTGAAAGAATGCCCACTAGCCAAGATTTTGTATCTCTATGCTATGATCAGATAGTTATGTTGCTAATTTTCTGGGATATTAATCATTCTTTTAAGCTAGATATCCCTTCCTTTCAGATAGCTAGGGTGTGTGTGTGTGTGTGTGTGTGTGTGTTTGAGAGAGAGAGAGAGAGAGATGCAGAGGTCTGTCAGTAGAAAAGAGAAAGGCAAAAAGATTAAACAATGTATAATATCAGTTTCAAGAGGAAGGGTGAGAGATTTTTTTTTTCTGAGGGAATTGCGGTTAAGTGACTTGCCCAGAGTCACACAGCTAGTGAGTGCTAAGTGTCTGAGACCAGATTTGAACTCAGGTCCTCCTGACTCCAGTACCAGTGTGCTAGCCACTACACCACATAGCTGCTCCAGGGTTAGAGATTTGACCTGTAATTTCATTGGTACAGGGAATTCACAGGTGAGGAAACATTCCCTACCAACGTAGGTCAGCATGTTGTTTGCAAATTAAAGCCTTAGTGTACTGAGACGATGAAGGATTTGTCTGGAATTATACCACCAGTATATGTCAGAGGCAGAATTTGAATCAAGATCTTCTCAAACTTGAGGACACCTCTCTATCCACTATGCCATGCCACCTCTTGAGAGTTTCAAACCCCTCTGAGAAGCTTGGTCCTTCCTTTTGGCAGTTCTAATGACAAGGCTTTATCCAAAGTATTATTTCCTATCCTAGTCTTCCAAGTTCAGTGAGAACAATGGATGCAGGAAGGCAAAAAAAAAAAAAAGATTCAAATCCACAGGATCATAGGGTCTGGATAATCAGGCTGATATACAATGCCTACCTTTGTGTCTGTAATTTAAATCAAGGGAACAAGGTCAACCTATGACACCTCAGCTGGACATCAGTATTTCTCTAGGCTCTTGAGCAGTGCAATCTGTTTCCATCTCTTTTCTAGGATTTTATTTCCTTCCTCTTCAATTATTTTCTCAAAAGTCTTTAAATTTCTTTTTCACGTTTCTAAGGTTCATTTATTTTACAGTTTCCTTCCTGCAGGAAACTCCTGAAAAGGTACTGGATTTCAGATAAGCCCATGGAGACTGAAGAGAATGAATGGATAAAATCATGGTTTTAACTCTGTCTTGGGATATCTTTCAACTCTAAATTTGACAATCCTACCTAAGGAGATCCACCTTCATTCTCAGCACCACATCTCCCAAACCAAAAGAATGCTTTAGATGGCTCTGATAATTGAACAAAGGATATTCTATAGAGTGTTATCAGAGACTTCCAAAATTTTGGAAAACTCTGCATCTACTTACAACACCCAACTTCTACTAAACCCCCTAATCTTCCCAATAGGACCAATTTGGTAGTTAGATTGTTCAAGAGTAGCTAAGTTCTGAGGAACTTTTCCAATAGTCAATGGCACATTCCTCTGCTCAGGTGGTCATGAGCTAATAAGGAGTTGTCTGGCAAAACAAAATCAAAGTTGATAAAATTTGGTTACAATCTCATTTTCCATTTAAATCGATTTTCCTAAGCCTACTCCAGAATCTAAAGCATACTAGGTTCAGTGAACAAGTTTTTTTTTTCTTTTTTTGAGTACCTCATATATTGTATCTATGAGATAGGCAACAGGCAATCACTGAAAGTTCGAAATTACCCCTGACACTTTGGCCTAAATCATAAATGGATGGACTGGTGAGTTTTAGGATAATATGAACTCATTTACATGTTTGAGTTTTGTACTTGGACTTTCTCTTTTTATTTTATCTATGGGTGGCTGCTGATTTACTACAAAATCATTTGTTCAAAGAGGTATTTGCTACTCATTAGAGGGAATACAAAGGAGAAGAGAATTTGATTAATTTTCCTTTTCATTTACAATTTTTAAAAATCTCATGTTTCTATTAAATGCCATTTATGTGCAAACCACTGCATTACTTCCTGTCCAAAGACAAAAATGAAATACTCTCTGTCCTCAAAAAACTTATATTCTACCTTTCAAGTAAGGTAGCTGTGTATATGATAACTTAAAGGAAGAGAAAACATTAATGACTCAAATGATCAGGAAAGGCTTCCCAGAAGAAATGATAAATGAACTGAGTCACTGAAGAAGGTAGAAATTATAAGAGGTATGAATGGGGAGGGAATCCGTTCTAGACATCGGGAACACTGTATTCAAAGGTACAGAGGAAAGATATGGAATGTAGTGTATTGAAAACAGCAAGTGAGTCACTTTGGTTAGAACATAAGAGTGAATAATGGGGAGTCATGTGAAATTAGTCGGAAAGGGAGCTTGGAACCAGACTGTTATGGGTATTAAATACCAAATACTTTTTGTTTGTTTATTTGTTTTTTTAATCCTAGGAATCATTGAATTTTCTTGCACAAAAGAGTGACATAGGAATATCAGTTTGAGTGTTGTGCAGAGGATGGATTGGAGAGAGGAGAGACTAGAGTCAGTCCTGAATTCTCTCCTAACCTCACTACTCTTTGCTTTGTGATTTTGAGAAAGTTACTAGTCACTCTAGGCCTCCTCAGTTTCCTCAGCTATTCAAAATAAGGGTTAGGATCTTAAGGCCCCTGCTTCTGTAAAAATGTATAATAGGAAAAGAAACTTAAAAAAAAAAGGTAATCTCATTGCCAACTGTACTATAAATCTCTGTTTTATTCCACATTAGTTTTCTAACATAGCAGCCAATTTCTGTTGCCAACATCCTAAGTATTTGAAATCCTAAAGATCGTTTTCCACCTCTTTATCCTTTGTAGGCAGACTTAATGATCCTTCAAATTATTTAGTCAATGACAATACAGAAAAAAAGAACTTCATCTCAATCAAAAGTGGATGGGGTGGTGAGTATTTTACAATGCCATGATCTCTGCTCCTGAACTGTCTTGTTCCTGTGAAGAAGGCTCCACAATGAACTATCCTCCTTTTCCCCTATAAAATTTCCAGTCTTATTGTGACTTTTTTATTTTGGAGGACTGATGAATTTATATGGGAAAAACAAATGACCCTTTATTGCAAGTTATGTGTGTTGATAAATGCCTATGTACATAAGTTTAGTCAAAATGATTAAGGGAAATTTTATCTTCAATAATTCCGGAATACTGCTCTTTAAACAAATCATTCAATCTTGCCAAGTCTCTTTCTGCCACCTCCAGCTGTTCAACAGTCACCAGAAGGTCATAGAAATTTAAAGTGTTGGGAATTCTGCAAGACTCAGTCCTGCCAAATCCTCCTCTGTCACTTCCACTTGCTCAGCAGTCATCAGAAGGCCAAAGTCACCTTAGGCTGTAATGATTTAGCCCAGCTAATCTGATTGACTCTCTTTTCAGAGATAGGGGTCAACTAGAATCTTTTCAACTGACTACACCTAGATTTAGCACTTATCATATTTCCTGGTACTTAGTAAGAACTTAATAAATATTTGTTGATTTATTGATTGATGTTTGACATGTGAATAAATCCATTCAATCATACAAAAGGACAAATCAAATGTCAAAAGGAAGGGATAAGTTACATAACTACAAATTTTCCTACGTGAGATAATATAAGAAACTCTGAATTCCCAACAATGCTGGGCAATTATGCAGTGAATTTTGCCTGTATGGGTAGCCAATTGTGATAGTTCCAGATGAATTTATGAAACAAAATGACCCATATTAAGAACAATAATATTAGTTAAAAATGAAGGTATCTTTTAGGATCAGAGGAACGAAAGCTGGAGCAAGATTTAGAGGTCATACAATACAACAGAATTCCCTCATTTTACAAATGAGGAATTTGAGACCCAAAGACATTAAATGATTGGCCCAAGGTCAAAGAGATGGCAAGTAGGAAAACAAGGATTTGTACCTAGGCCCACTGTCTCCAAACCCCATAGTCAGTACATCATTAACCTCTAGTTCTTAATTCTTTGATTTTAAAAAAATTCATATTTTGTTTTTGTATCACCTTCATTTCCCCAAACATTCCCCTTGTACTCTTTGAAGGACATCCATTACAATAAAGATTTTTTTAAAGAGATAAATTAATTCGTCAAAATTGACCAGCACAGCAATTTAGTTCAACATTATATGCTACTTTTCATACACAAGTACATTCTCATATCTTTTTTTTGTGACTAATTTTGGCCATTTTATTGTTGTTGTTTTTTTGGGGTTTTTTGGGTTTTTTTTTTTGGCTAGGCAAAAGGGTTAAGTGACTTGCCCAGGCTCACACAGCTAGTAAGTGTCAAGTGTTTGAGGCCAGATTTGAACTCAGGTCCTCCTGAATACAGGGCCAGTGCTCTAGCCACTATACCATCTAGCTGCCCCCATTTCATTTGACCATTTTAATTATGCAGTATTCAGGGATTTTATTTTTTATTTTTTTCCCATTTATAGTGCTCTAGTGATTGTGTTTTCCCAGTTCTGCATACTTTCCTTTGCTACAGTTCACATAGATTTTCCCATAGGCAGTGTAGTACAGTGGAAAGAGTCCTGGATTTGAACCTTGGTTCAAATGGTGTCTCATTCAATTTATTCCTAACATGACTTTGGGCAAGGTATCTAAATCTTCTGGTCCTCAGTTTATACACATGATAAAAGAGAGTTGGAATGGATGACTTCTAGTGACTCTTTCAGCTCTAAAACATCTAATTTTTATTCATCCCTTCTGCAATAACTAACTAGCATTAATATAGTGTTTTATTAAAATATTATCTCATTTTATTCTCAAAACAACCCTGGGAGGTAGGTGCTGTTTTTACAGTTGTGAAAACTAAGATAAGCAGAGGTTAAAAGACATGGCTAGGGCCGCACACCTAGGAAGTGTTTGAAACAGGATTTGAACTCAGGTCTTGCTGGCTCCAAGTACAGCATAATAATTATTGTATTACCTACTTGACAACTAATATGTACTACAAATTTTTAATCAATTTCCCAATTCATGAGTTTCCTCTTAGCTTCCAGTCCTTTGTTGCTTAAAAAAAAGCATAGTATATTAGAGTATATGGGACCTTTCTTTTCTTTTTTTTTTCTTTTTTACTTTCTGAGGATAATGCCTAACAGTGAGATCACTGAGGCAAAGGATATGTACAAATTAGTTACTTTCATCCCATATTTACAAATTGTTTTTTCAGAATGGTTGGATCAATTCACAATTCTACTTACAATGTTGTAATATGCCTTTTTTCCTATAACCTCCAACTTTGACTATTCTACTAATTTTGTCATTTTTGACTCTTACCTGAGTATGAGATAAAACCTCGTATTTGTTTTAAAATATATTTCTCTTCTTAACACTGAAGGAGCAATTTTTCATATAGTTGTTAAGAGTTTTCATTATTGTTTTGTATTTTGGTCTTCAATAGTTGTTTTAATTTTCTATGTATCTTGAGGCTCATACCCTCATCAGAGATATTTAATACAAAAGTTTTCCCTCCCTGATTAACAGCTTCCCTTCTTATTTTAGTTACATTGATTTTGTTCATATAAAAGCTTTTCTATTCCAGGCAACAGACATTGCCTATCTTATCTTTTGTGACATTCTTTATCCTTTTCTGGTGAAGAGCTCACTCCCTAGCTATAGTTTTAAAAAATCCCTGATGATTCCATTATTTTTTATATGTTGTGAACTTTAATAATCAGGTCTTGCAACTATTTGAGCTCATTGTGTACTATATAGTAAGATGCTCATGCAGTATAAATCTAAGTTCTATTATCTTGCTTTACACTTTTCTCACCAGTTCTTAACAAATAAGGAGCTTTCCCAACACAATTTGTAGTCTCAGGTTTATTGAATACTGGATTTTTTTAGTTCAATAGTTATTGATTGTACTATATGTAGCCAGTTCCACTGATCAACTTTTCTAATTTTTAGCCAATACTAAATGGTTTTGATTATTATTACTTTGTATTACTATTTGAGATATGGAAGTGCTAGTCCCTTTTCATTCCTACTTTTTTTCATTACCTACCTTGATATTCTAAACCAATTTTCCCCCAAATAAATTTTATTATTTTGCCTGCTTCTTAAAAAGTTTCCTTTTCATAGTTTGAATGGCATAGCACTAAATCTTTAAATTAACATAAGTAAAATTATGTTTGTCATATTGCCATATCTCAGTCATGAGTATTGAATATTCCTCTGGTTATTTAAGTGATTATTTCTTTTAAGAGTGTTTCATAATTGTATCTATGTAAATCTTGAGTTTGCCTTGTTAGATTTCACACAAACATATTTCATGTATTTTGTAGTTATTTTAAAATGATACTTTCCTTCATGTTTTTCCTCTTGGATTTTATTATTACTCTTGAATAGTTGTAATGTGTTTTTTTCTTAAGGTTTATTTTGTATCTTTCTGCTTTCCTCAAGTTATTTATTATCTCAAATAGTTTCTTTGATTCTGCTCTATAATTTCCTAGGAAAAACATATTAGCAAGTATGGATATTTCTCTCTCTCTCTCTCTCTCTCTCTCTCTCTCTCTTTCTCTGTCTCTCTCTGTCTCTCTGTCTCTATCTCTGTTTACTATATGTTTACTTTATTTCTCTTCTCTTACTGTGATCACCATAATTTCTAAATTCTCAATATACTCTGAACTTAAGGCTAATCACATTGCCAGCTTTGTGAAGAATGGATTAGAAAAGAGAGATATTTGAGGCAAAGAGATCAATGAGTAGGCCTTTGTATTAGTCTAGTAAGGTAGTAAGAGGTAGTAAAGACCTGAACTACTGTGGTGACTGTGTGAGTATTGAAGGGATCAGTTGTGAGAGATGTGGAGGAAGGAATAAGATTTGGCAGGTTCTTGAATATGTGGGTGAAGAACAGTGAGAATTTGAGTGATGCCAAAGTATTGAACCTGGAATATTAGTAGTTCTCTTGAACAAAACAGGAACATTTGGTGAAAGTGCAATTGGGAGAAAAGATAATAAGGTCTCTTTGGACATGTGGGTTTGAGATGTTTGCAGGAAATTCAGTCTAAAATATTACTAATGCATTTGGTTGTTCATAACTGAAGCTAAGGAGAATGATTGAGGTTGGATATATTGCTGTTGGAGTTATATGCAGAAAGATAATAATCAAGCCTGTTGGAGATGATAAGATCACACAGAGAATATACATAAAGAGAGAATGCCCAGGTAAAATTCTGAAACATATTTGTAGTTAAGGAGCAAGATAATGAACCTGAAAAGAAGTAGTCAGCCACACAGAAGAAAAACCAAAAGATAGTAGTGTCATGAAAATCCAGAGAAGAAAGAAATCATCCAGTAGAAATTGTCAACAATGTCAAATGCAGCTGTTAAAAGGGATAAAAGCTAAGTGAAAGCCATCATTTGGCAACTAAGAGATAATCAGGTACTTTGGAGAGAGCAGCTTCAGCTGATTCATTAGATCAGAAGCAAGATCACAAAGAGCTTAGAAGTGAATGAGAGGAGGGAAAATGTAGGCAGTAAATGAAGACATTTTTTCTAGGAGTCTGGCTAAGAAAAAGAGTAAGATATAAGCTGATACTTTAATGGAAGTTAGGACTAGTGAAAGTATTCTAAGGATGGGGGAAATGGGCAGGTTTGAAGGCAGTAAGGAAGTAATCACTAGATAGAAAGAGATGAAAGATTGACCAGTAAAGTGATTAAGAGGGACAATTTGCTGAAGATGGCTTTGTCATGACAAGGTGAAGGGCTGTCTCATTATCAGAGACTGAAGTAAAGGAATAGAGAATGGAGGGTGATTTTTAGGGGGTTTTGAGATAAAAAAATGGAAGAAGACATGGAGTGCTTTAGTGCATTAGAAATGGGGTGGAAGTATTCAGACAGAGTCACTGTAGCAAAGGTCCCCATTCTCATGTGAGGCTCAGACATACACCTTCAAGTTTGCTTGTACCCACTGCTGTAGGTGTCTGGAGGTTGGTGTGGGAGAGGAACTGAGTAAGATTTTTAGGTTTTAAAGTTTTCTAGTTAATTCATGAGCTTTTTATCTTTTTTTTCTCATTCTCTTGTGGCTTTATATGTAATCACTCTGTATCTAGAACACAATTTGCCCCTCCAAGGACACCAATAAATTCTTAATTGCCAAATCCATTAGCTTTTTCACAGAACTTTTGATTTCTACACTATGTGATATTTTACCATATTCTCTTTAATATTCTTCACTCCTTTAACTGTTAAGTTCTTTTTCCCTAGTTCTTTTACCTGTATAATTATGCTTTTCTTGGCCTCTCTTACTGGTTAATCTGCATCCTTCTATCACCAAAGGATGGCTTTCCCTTTTGTTCTGATTTTTCTTTCACAACCTGACTAATGTGGAAATATGTTTAATATGATTGTACATATATAGCCTATATCAGGTTGCTTGCCATCTTGGAGAGGGAGGAAGAGAATGAGGGAGGCAAAAGAAATTTAAAACTCAAAATCTTATAAAAGTGAATGTGGGAAACTATCTTTACATGTAATTTAAAAAATAAAATACTGTTAAGTGGAAAAATAATAAAAAAGGAATGAAAGTATATCCTGATCCTGACCTACCATTCATTCATCTTGACTCTTCACCACTCACCTCACTGTTGAATCACCACCCCTAGTCTAGACATGTTGGACATATTCTCTACTTGGCTTGGTTCATCTCCATTCTGTCCATGGTCCTATAACCAACACATGGGATTGACTGATTGAGGAACTAATTTCCCTGAATAAGCTATGTGGACACAATCTTCCTTGTTTTGATATCTCTTTCTCATTTGTACAGGGATTTATCCAAATGATTCAATGTCATACTTTTTATTTTATATCACAGGTATTAATTACTATGTAATCATTCCATTTTTCCTTGTTGCCTTGAAATTGAACTTCTTCGGGACTTTGCCATATCAAATTGAGTTATTACCACAAGAAGAACGTAGATCTGATTTTTGTTATTCCTTTGATGAATGTTATACATCCTACCCACAGATGATGGCAAGCAACTCAAAAATTTTTGAGGTACTACAAACATTCTTGTACTAAACTCTTCCTCCACAATCTCATCATGGGCTTTCAAAGGCTTTGTCTTCAAAGCTACCTGTGCAAGTCCTTGAAAGCTGGAGAGCTTCAATTTGGGCTAAAATTGGATAGTACACATCAGTCCAGGGTTCCTGCTAACATATTGGGTCATTGGCTGTAGAAAAAAATATTAAAGTTTGAAATATCACTTCTAAAAGATCTAATTGTGAAAAGTCATGGGAAACTAAAAGCTGTAGAGGTAGTGTGTTTCTATGATGGTATACCATGACAATGATTGGATAGTACCTAGATGTTAAGGTTTCATTCTTTGGGAAGATACCAATTTTTATCAAGGTGAAGAATAGGACCAAACTATGTCTATCCCTTCAACTGGAAGGCCAAGAGCTTCAAGCTGGTAAGTTAGGAAAGTAAGTTAGGATAATAAGCTACAATGGAAACACCACTTCCAAATTCATCCTTCCAATGTGAAGTATTGCTTTCTTCAGAGTGAAAATAATCCCACATACTTCTTAAAAATATGTGTTATCTCAAATGATGATCTAAATGAAAGAGATGATTCTTGATTAGAAATTTTAAAGCAGAAATATCTTGATTTTCAATTCAAAATTAGTTGTTCTTTATGCTTTAGTATTTACAGTCCAGGGAGAAGACATCAAATAACACAGAAAACTCTACCTACAACACAGATATGGACACAATAGTTCATTATATATGGTCTGGACATCACAGTGGGATAGATGTTGGAAAGCCACTATTCCATGACAAGTAAGCTATTGGCTATATTTTCCTCTTTTCTACTATATTAACAATGCAACAAATAAGGATCCATTTTCCATTTGCTCACAGACTGTTTTCCAGAGATTTTCACAAATAGTAAAAATTATCTGATCAATGATTAATTGATTTTTAAAAACTGGATATTTTAAAGACTCCAGGACCACACTTCATGTCAGTGTAACTGTTAGGAATGAAATCCATTTTTCTGAAGAATGATAATTACAGGCTTAGCTATGGCTAGGTATACAAAGATATATACAAAGTGTTTTCTGATGAACAACCCTGAGAAGTAGGTAGCACAAATAAGATTATCATTATTTTGCTGATGAGGAAGTAAGGTCCAGAGAGGTAAGTGTTAAATACTAGAGGAATTACTAGAATCCAAGTCTTGTGACTCTGAAAACAATGCTCTCTGACAAAAAAAAATGATCCTCAAGAATATTATCTGTCAATTCCTGCTATTTTCCCACTTGTATAATTTACAAATTTTTAAAAAATGTTTGTTTGTTTTTTAAAAATAAATCTTTCTGGGGAGCTTACAAATAATTGTCCTAATTTCCCCATACTTAATGTTATGTTAAGAAATGTTAAAGCAGAGCTCACACAAGAAACACTTTAAAATTTAATCTGAATTAATAACATTTTCACCTCCACTTTCTAAGTATAGAACTATAAACCAATAAACAATAAACCAATAGAACAACAAACAATAAACCAAACTCTGATTTTTAGCATTTGCTGATTTCTTAAGTGTCAATGCTCAAACTCAAAATTAAACAATTAACCCTCTAGAGTCTTCCAAATTGGTTCCCCACCTGTGTCTCTTCTCACCTTTGTCTCCATCCCTTATTTCTGTTTATATCTACATCTCCCAGCATATATAGGCAGCACCACAGGGTTCAAGAGTACTTAGATGTGTCTGATATAACCTCTTGCTCTATGTCAGTAAATAAATAAACCCCCTGACATGAAGAGTTGTGTTGTTTTCTATAATCTTGCCAGGGATATGAATTCCACATTATCTTGTGCTAATATTTATTTACCTTTATAACCAAGAAATTCTTCTTTGTGTCAACCCAAGCTCCCTCTAACTGCAATTAAATCCACTTTGCTCCACTTTTTCCTTACCTAATTATATAGAGCTTTCAATCATTGAGGAGTAGACTCCTCCTCATTTCCCTAAAATGAGACCACACTTTCCCAGCATCATTACTAGATCTACTTATGGATTTCTGGTGATAAATTTTAGTAGGAGATTTGGATTGAAGAGCCAAAATGAATGTGATACAGTTGAGAAAATATTATAATTAGTGAATTACATGTTATTGTAATCACTTTATTCTTTGACACAAAAAGTGATCTGATTACATAGTAGGGGGAAAAAAGAACCAGAAAATCTTTTCATTCAGGAGAGACAGTGAAATCTACTGTTAGAATTTCTAAGAGAAAACCAAAAAACAAACTCCCAAGTTCCCTAAGATTTAACTCTTCAGGCAGTTCCATACAGCATGGCCACTATAACACTGACTATTGAAGGTATATGCTTCAAAAAGCAATTTATGGATTATTATCTACAGGTCACAAATTAGGTAAAACTCTGTGGAGCATGCTCTCAGAGTTCACTCATCTAGGTATGCTTATCAGGTTTGGGCATCCAGTGAAGACAGGTTTTAAAAATTGACTTTGAAAACTGGAGGTGAGCCGTGAACACTGGGCTTGCTTCAAGCCATCCCTTTCTCTATTTGTCCATGCCCATCAATTAAAAGTAGGTTAAGGATACAGCTGGTGGTGAGACAGCAATTGAAATAATTTCAGTGCAGGATACTTAAAAGCTGATGTGAGCAAAGCCTGCTTTGATAGGCCTAATAGCCTTGTCTCAGTTCAGTTAGCCCTAGAAAGAGCTTAGCTGCTGTTTCATTATGTCCTATTACAAAAAGTAACTTGCAGAAGCTAGCCAAAGGAAAAGTACTAGAAGGGAGAGAAAGATAAAGATGAAAATATTCAAAGATACTAAGATGAATTAGAAGAAGTGGTCCAGAATGAAGTGACTTTGAAGTTACTAACAAAATTATATAGGGATCTGCCTGGAAGGTTGAGAGATTTCAACCTATGTCCTCTAAAGTTATGATCATTACTGTCTGGTGTGTTCTGCATGTCAGACTCTAAACACAGGTTCATAGGCTTGTTAATCTAGAGCTGGAAGGGATTTTGAAAGTCAACCTCTTTATTTATTTTTTTTTGGTGAGGCAGTTGGGGTTAAGTGGCTTGCCCAGAGTCACACAGTTAGTGAGTGTTATGTGTCTGAGGCCAGATTTGAACTCAGGTCCTCCTGACTCCAGGGCCAGTGCTCTATCCACTGTAACACCTAGCTGCCCCAGACTCAACCTCTTTATTTTATAGATGAGGATGTTGTTGTTGTTATTGTTATTATTCAGTTGTTTTCAGTTGTGTCCAACTCTTCATGACTCCATTTGGGGTTTTCTTGGCAAAAATATTGGGGTAGATTGTCATTACCTTGTCCAGCTCAATTTGCAGATGAGGAAACAGAAACAAACAGGGTTAAATGACTTGTTCAAGGCCACACAGCTAGTAAGTTGTCTAAGGCCAGATTTGAATTCAGGAAGAGAAGTCTTGGCACTCAATCCACTGTGCCACCTAGCTGTCGTAGATAAGGACACTAGAGGTAGTAAGCCTCAGAGACAGAATTTGAACCATATATGGTTTTGCACACAAACTACTTCCTGGAAAATTACATTTCCAGGAAGATTGGGAAGGGACAGGGAAGAGTTTTGTGTAACTCCTGTGAACTTGCTAATTCCAAGTCTTTCTTTTTAGAAGCCAATTTTATTCTACAGGAGAAAAAGATTTTACTGAAGCCTTTCTATTCACTGTTGAGTTCATCGAGGAAGCAAATTACCCCTCTGACTTGAAGAATTCATCAGAATTCTTGCTGGGATTCCCTCATAGAGAGCTCACCACTGAAGACTGGCTCATTCCTGGCTGGGACTTAAACAAATATGAAAAAAACCTGTTGATTATAGTAAAAATAATTTCTCAAATAAATAATATTTCAGGTATGAACTTTAAATACATGAAAATCATGTAAGCTGGATAAACAAAATGACTAAGATGATAATAATGAGCACAACTGGATAAATAAGATTAATTATGTATTTGGTGTCCTTTGTTCTTTGAAAAGATTACAATATCATTTAATATGATATGATCAAAGGGTCACTATGTGGGGAAGGATCTTAAGACATCATCTGCTATAACTCTCTCATTTTACAGTAAAGAAATTGGGACCCAAACGGGTCAAGCATCTGACCCAAGGTCACATAGAGAGTTAAGTAGACCAATGAGATTCAGATTCTAGGTTTTTGAACTCTAAATTCATGACCATTCATGCCAATCAATTGTTTAAGCATTTCTTTTTTTTAAACAAATTTTCACATTACTGATGTTGTAAGTAAGAATTAGAATCAATAGGAGGAACCACCAGAAAGAGGAAACAAAACACAACAGAATTTAAAAAAATAGCAAACAGTATGCTTTGATCTGTATTCAAACTCCATAGTTCTTTCTTTGGATGTGGATAGCATTTTCCATCATGAGGCCTTTGGAGAAGTCTCAGATCCCTGTATTGCTGAGAAGGGTTAAGTCTATCAATATTAGTCATCGCACAGCGAGGCTGTTACTGTGTACAATGTTCTGGTTCTGCTCACTTCACTCAAGCATTTCTTAATCACTTCCTATATGTCAGGTACTGTGCTAAGTATTGGGGATGCAAAAAAGAGCAAAAGCAGCTTTTAAAAAACCAGTGCTGGCCCTTAATGACCTTATATTTGAATAGTGTACATAACATATATATTACATAAGTACACATAAAATACACACAGACTAGATGGAAGGTAAACAGGGGGGAACTCTAGCAACTTGGGAGTGGGAGAGGTGGAAAAGAGAGAGGCAGGGAAGATCTTGTGTAGAAAGTGGTGCTTAAGCTAAATCTTGAAGAAAGTCTGGAATTCTTAGAGGCAGAGCAATCTCAAACACAGGGTACAACCAGTACAAAAGCCTGAAGGCAAGGGGTGGAACAAAGGTGTGAGGAATAGCAAGTAGACCAATGTGGCTGGACCATGGAGTGCAGAAAGGCTAAGAGCTGGGCTACAAATACATATGTAAGCCTAGTCTTTGTCCTCAGAGATTCTTTGCTATGTCCCCCCAGTATTATAAACCCAAGTGACCTCACCATGATGTAGTCAATATATGTGTTCAGTTCTTTAGGAACTGAATTTTAGCCTGAGCTGTTTCCTTGTCTCAGATTCAGGTGCCACTGGTATGTTTCACCTTGACAAGGGCTGTGAGTTTACTAAGCCCAGCCTTAGCTTCTCTTCTGGCTCTTGGCTTCTACTCAGTGGCCACATATAGCATTTCACCTGAGTTGTAAGGGGACTAGTTAGCACCTCACCAGGACCAACATTGTTAAAGGAAAGCTTTTGACTATTTGTTATGCATTGGTAGCATGTACGTTTTTAGTTTGCTTAAGTAAGCTGTTCAACTTTTTTTTTTTAGGCGTTGTAAAAGACATACAAATATACCGAATGAAAGACACATTTTTGCATGTTGCCTGGGTGGGAATTTGTTTTGCTTGACCTAACACATAAGATAGGAGATTCCTTCCTTCTTTCCTTTCTCCCTCCCTCTTTTTTCTTTCTTTCTCTCTCTCTCTTTCTTTCTTTCATCTTCCTTCTTTCTTTCTTTCTTCTTTCTTTCTTTCTTCCTTTCTTTCTTTCTTTCTTTCTTTCTTTCTTTCTTTCTTTCTTTCTT